GGGGGGCGCGTCCCCGAGCAGGGGGGAGTTGGGGGCGGAGCCGTAGAGAGTCTCGGGGGCCTGCGGGGAGGGGCGGGGTCAGTGGGCGTGGCCACGGCACAGGTGTGAGTGCTGGGTGTGGCCACAGGGGAGGTGTGGTCATGGGACAGGTGAGTGGTGGGTGTGGCCATGGGGGAGGTGTGGCCATGGGACAGGTGTGAGTGGTGGGTGTGGCCACAGGGGAGATGTGGGACAGGTGTGCCCAGTGGGCGTGGCCATGGACAGGTGTGCCCGGTGGGTGTGGTCACAGCACAGATGTGCCTGGTGGGTGTGGCCATGGATAGGTGTGTCCAGTGGGCGTGGCCATGGACAGGTGTGCCCAGTGGGTGTGGCCATGTACAGATGTGCCTGGGGGCGTGGCCATGTACAGATGTGCCCAGTGGCCATGGACAGGTGTGCCCGGGGGCGTGGCCATAGACAGGTGTACCCAGTGGGCGTGGCCATGGACAGGTGTGCCCGGGGGTGTGGTCACAGAACAGGTGTGTCCGGGGGCATGGCCATGGACAGGTGTTCCCAATGGGCGTGGCCATGGACAGGTGTGTCCAGTGGGCGTTGCCATGGTCAGGTGTCCCCGGTGGGCGTGGCCATGGACAGGTGTGGCTGGTGGGTGTGGTCATAGCATAAGTGTGCCTGATGGGTGTGGTTACAGCACAGCTGTGCCCGATGGGCGTGGCCATGGCCAGGTGTGCCCGGTGGGCATGGCCATGGACAGGTGTGCCCAGTGGGCGTGGCCATGGACAGGTGTGCCTGGTGGGCGTGGTCACAGCACAGGTATGCCCGGTGGGCATGGCCATGGTCAGATGTGCACAGTGGGCGTGGCCATGGACAGGTGTGCCCGGTGGGCATGGCCAGGTGTTCCCGTGGGCGTGTCCGGGACTCACCGCGTAGGTGAGCGGCTCCTCCGCGGGGGCGTCTCCGCCCTCGTCCCCCTCCAGGTCGCTCAGCGCCCGGCGCATCTCGGGGCCCAGCGCCTGCAGCGTCTGCAGCCCGGCCTGGGGGGGACACGGGGAGGGCCGGGGGTCACCTGGTGACACCCGGTGACACCAGGTGACCCCCGGTGACCCCCCCGGGGAAGGGTCCCACCTGCAGCGCGCTCTCGTTGCTGGGGGCGGCGCTGGGGCCCAACATCCCCCGCTCCTTCCGCCGGCGGAACTTGCGGAAATAGTCCTGGATCAGGAAGGTGGCGTAGAACTTCCCCACGGTCACCTCCTCCTCTGGGGGGGCACGGGGGGGGCAGGGGGGTCCCGGGGGGGGAGGGGGGGGTTAAGGGGGGGCAGGGTGGGGGGCTTGGACGTCACGCACCCTCGGGCGGGGGGATGACCTCGTCCAGCAGCTTCGGCTTCGTCCTCTTCCAGATCTTCTTGACCACAGCCCGGAGCTCTTTGTTGGCCACATCCAGGTTCCCTGGAGGGACACGGGGGGGGGACACACAGCCGTGACTGTCACCCCCCCACACTGACCCCCGGGACCCCCCTGGAACCCCCCTGGGACCCCCCCAGGACCCCCCCGGGCTCCCAACCTTCCGTCTTGATCTTGAGGGAGGTGCGGACGAGCGCGAAGAGCGTCGCGTTGAAGGTGACGGTGCCGTCCGAGTTGAGGGGCATGTTCATGGCCACCAGGCGCTGGGGGGGGGACGAGGGAGGGTAAACTGGGGTGCCCCCCACCCTGGGAGACCCCCAGGGCCCCCCATGGGAGCCCCCAGACCTTGCAGGCCACGCGGTGGGGGCAGAGCTTCCCGAAGCCCAGCGGGGGTTGGATCCGGCGCAGCAGCGTCACCACGTCCAGGTGCTTGATGCGGCCCCTGGGGGGGGGCAGGGTCGGGGGGAGGGGGGGCGGGGGGGTCAGGGGGGGTGGGGGGGGTCACGGGGGGTCCGGACCCCCCCTGGCTGGGGATGGGGGGACAGGGACTCACTTGGCAGCCGGGTCGTACTCGGACCACACGCGCTTGAACTCGTCCAGGTGATGCGGGCCCAGGATGGACCAGTCGCGCGTCAGGTAATCGAAGTTGTCCATGATGACGGCCACGAACAGGTTGATGATCTGGGGGGGGGAAAAGGGGGGCTCCTGAGGGA